TGTAACCCTTCCCTATAGAAAGACTTTATAAAACTAACCCACACACTACTTTCCTCAAGGGGCAGCCCATTCTTTTCTTCTTCAGTGCCGGCTTCCTTGTGCACAAGCTAAAATAAACTTTTTCTTTGCTGCTGTGTCTGGTGATCTCTCTTGATTTCTATCCTGGGAGATTACAAGAACCCAGGATGCTGGTAACATTTTGATTCAAGAATAGGAGGTTCTGGATCCCAGTGATGGAACTGTGTCCTGCTCTTAACCTGGAGGGGCCCTTAGCCACTTCAACTGGGGCTCTGTACCAAATATCACTCCCCCAGTTAATCATGGCTACATCCCGCCTTGGAAATCCCTCACATTTTCCTCCATGCGCTCACCCTGGCTTTCTGACAAGACAAAAACACAAGAACCAACCAGCCTTCTCTGATGGTAGAGGGTTTGGGGAGGTGGGATGTGGAAGTGTCACTACATGGACTTAGCCCTGGTGAGCCCCTGGGGACCTTCTCTCTTCCTCTCTTCACTCTGAAGTGTCCATGGGTTGCTGTTTTTCTAGGTACTCTATCAGCATCACACAGAGAAGTCGACTTCCAGCAGTCATTAGGTGAAAAAGATGCTGCTATCCTAACCCAATGCCATGTATGTTATTGGTTTCAGAGATCTGGATCCTCATAAGGAAACCTTGCTCCTGAGACTCTAAGACTTGGGAACATCGCTCTTGGAGTTCTCCCATTCTCCAGTGCTCCAAAACTCTTCACATGGAAGACAGTGGTAAATATCACTTCGGTAACACCTGCTGAGGCTGAGATACCATGACCACACAGGATTAAGGCACACAGTGCACCACCTCCACCAGGTCTTGGTCCATGCCACCTGGGACCACAAACAGGATCAGGTCCACCCCCTAGATGGAGAGAAGGATGAGTGGAGGTAGGTTTCCAGAGGCAGCATTGCAAAGCCAGTGGTTTCTAGGCACCAGGGCCAGTGTTTTGCCTCCAGAGTATCTATGATTTATGAAGACTCCAGAATTGGGTTTTCTTTATGGAGAGGTTACTACTAAGAAACCTGTCCACCATTAGGCCCTGGCTGGGGCAGTCCTGGTTCATCCTCACTAATGCAGCCTGTACACAGAGCTGGAGAAGTATGGCTTCGAGTGAACTAGGGCACAACTTTTTCTCACACTGAATCTGCGTCCCAGCAAAATCAGCGCTCAGCTATACCGGCAAGCATCCCGCTCCATACATACCAGACCCAAGGCATTGCTAGCTCCTCCTGGGTATCATGCACATTGCCCGCACTTTAGCCCATGTTTCCCTCTGATGGTTCACAAGGTCAAAGTTCCCTTCCAGCTACGGAAACACCACTTTGCCTCCTCTCTCATCCTGAATCCCTTATTGTAGTGGATGATTCTCAACAAAGCAATCAGAGCCTTCTACCCTAAGAGGCTCTGAATCCTGCCTTCACACTCCTGTACGTCGGATTGCCCAGCTAATCAGAATTACACACATTGCATGGAAATAATATCTTACCATTAACAGCTGGGTTGAGCTCTTACTTGGCATCATGGGGGAGAAAGAGGAAGAGAATGAAGCTAAGCACAAGTATCTCCGGAAATAGAACCTGAGAGGATGGGAGGGTCATGCTTCTTCCCCAGGGGCCTCTTATCAGCCAGTAACAGCAGCAGTAGGTCTCCCAAGCTTAGAAGCAGTTCCTCGTCTCTACTCCACTGGGAGTCCTGGTTGCTGCCTCTGCTCCTGGGGCGTTATAGATTCTACCTGGTCACGGCAGAGTTAGATGTCCTGGAGCCAGTGTGTTATGGGGCAACATGGAATGACCTGGAAAGTCTGCACCCATGCAGAGGACATCTGGAGAAGCCCTAGGTCCTTCTGTGACCCTGGCTAACCTTACCACATGCATGGTCTGTGGTGTTGGGCATCATTCATTGCCCCAGCTCTGAATGTTCATGGGGTTGGTGAGGTGTGAATTCAAGAGAACGGGACCGGGCTAGGCGCTGGGGGTACAATGGATGAGACACAGTTCATGGTCTCAAGGAGGCTCCAGACAAGTGAATAAGGGATTATTATCCCATCTGGGGCTATGCACAACTTCTCAGAGATGCCACTTTCCCTCTTTCCTGGGACCCCAGAGTACTTCTCCTTCCTAAAGCACAGATTTTAGGAGGGCCAAAATCCCACTATTTCCCTCTGAGGCTCGAAATCTTGCTTGAAACCCTCCTGTCTCTACAGTCTGCTGACTGTGTGCACCATGGTTCTTCCTCAGGGGTGTCCCTGCCCAGGATAACAGCACAACTCATACAGCATACATTGCTTTGCTCAGGCAGAAGTGGTACATCTGCATGTCCTACATTCTGAGGGCTCCATTACTGGCAAGTACCAACTCTCCTGGGCACCAGGGACCCCCTGCCCCATGCCATAGCTCTATACTCCCCAAGCAGCCCCACCTTCCCTAGCGGTCACTCTCTGTTCCTTCTGGCCGCTCTCAGGGTCTTCCATGTGAGACTCATCCTAGGCCCTGGCTCAGGCTGTCCTGCCTGCTGAGAGCTCCCCACTCTTCCCTGTCTCACCACTGCTTCTTAAACCCCTACTCATCCAACATGGCCCTCCATGAAGGCCACTCGCATTGCTACCATCCATGAATGAGAACATGACAGCCACCCCCTCCAGCACCAAACCAAACCAGAAGCTCATCTTTGATACCCCCAATCTAATGAATAATCAATTCATGCTGATTTTGACTCTACTTCTTGAATCTCTAGGTAATATCCCTTTTCCTGTCCCTCCTCCCCCCTCCCCAAGACCACTGCCTTCTGGATTTAGACAGTCCTGTGTTTGCATTGTTTCTGCCACATCCTGGAAGTATGACTTCAGGAAAAACATCTCTCTAGGCCTCACTTTAATGGACTATAAAACAGCTCTATTAACACTGTGTACCTCGTAAGGTTGGCATTTAGACGAAATAACATAATGTACTTTATACATAATACATGGCTTAAAGTAAGTCCTCAATAAGTGTTAGCTGCTGTTATTGCTATTGTTCTTACTATAATTACCATTATTCGTACCTTAGTATCTCCCACCTGGGCTACAAGCCTTCTACCTGGTCATTCATGGAGAGTGACCACAGCAGTGTGGAATCATCCGTGGCCACTGTGGGAATATTTGTCCCTTGAAAACAGTTGATGATGAAAGAAGGCACCAAAGCAGAACGGCCTCATAACCATGCACAGACATCTGCTATGAGATCATTCCTCTCCCTATAGCAAGAGTTTCCAAGGGGCCCAGGCAGAGATGTGGTATTCTAGGGATGGAGGTCCCTTGGAGAGCATCTAATTCAATTTCCTGATTTTATTCAGCAGGTCATGGATGTTTAAAAAAAATCCTGATTTTAGGATGGCAAAACTGAGTTCTTGTGAGGATAAAGGGCTTGCTTATAGCCAATTTTCTTTTACAAAAATGTATCTGGGCTACTCTGTATTTAGCCCTGTGCTTGAATCCAAGCTTTTCACCTGACACACAACCAGTCAGGTGAAGAGCTTGGATTCAAACCCAGGTTTCTACTAAATCACACCATCTCCAGACAGAGGAGCAGTTCACTAAAAATAATGCTTACATTCCCATGTGCTACCCAAAGGGAAATAGCCAGGATTCTGTATGACCAATAAATCATCATGAGAAATTCTTTCAACCAGAAGCTGGAATGTGAAACACCAAGTTGAACTGTCAGAAAGACACAAGCAAGAAGACTGGAAAACACTTAGTACAAATACAAATAAGAATACATGCTTTCGAGCTGGCACTTGCCCTTTGAACACATAACACAAACTGGTCTCAACACAAACTTGCTCAGTGTCAAAGTAGGAATTTTGCAACACACCCTACAGTTAACACTCACTTTTGCCCTCAACACCTAGACTCGTAACAGAATCAGGATTTGGGGAGAAAGGAAGGTTGACAATAAATTGTCATTTTATAAATGGTGAAACTAAAGCTTAGAGAAGTAAAGTAATAAGTCACAGTTCATTATGAATGTCTTTGCTGGATACCCTTTCCTCTATGCCATTATGCCATAGGGAAGCAGTTAAAAAAAAATTAAAAGGATGTTTACCTAAGGCTTATACGGGAGGTGTATCCCTGTGCATTACTTAGAAAAGTCCCCCCAGAATGTTTTTTTTTTTCTTTTTTAGAGACAGGGTCTCTCTGTGTTGCCCAGACTGGTCTTGAACTCCTGGGCTCATGCAATCTGCCACCTCACTTGGCTTGTTATTAACCTTTTATGGGTCATGGGCACATCTACTGAATCTACTGAAACCTGTGAATTCTCTTCCCAGAAGTGATTCCATAAGGGCAGGAACATAACTTTGCATATAATTTTAGCTCACCCATGTAGCCCTTGGCAATTCCTGAGGCACAGCAGCGAAAGAAAACTTGCCTTAAAGTGTTACAGCGATACAAAATGATTCAAATCGGCTTTGCAGACACTGCCCAAACCTGAAAACTTTCTATAGGAGGACGCTGTATGCATAACAAGTGAAAACTAATTATGATGCTGTTTTTCAGTATTTGAATCAATGCATGAAGTTATTATTTGTCAGCATGTACATGCAGGTTAAATAAAATGTATTTACAACGCAATAGTATAGCCAGATGATATTCAACATTTATATTTCCAAACTGTTCTAGCAAATGGTTCTAGCAAATGGGCCCCAGCACTACAGATATCCTAAAGACACATTACAAGAATCACCAGCCCCTGTCTGCCTTCATCAGAGCCTCTCACATCCTGTCCCAACATCATGTTCAGTTAATGCGAATTCTTACTTTAAGAAGGCACAGAAAACATTTACACTGTTTATTGTAATTTAAACATCTGCAATTTACCATGATATCTCTTCCCACCTACAGGAAATATGTTGCATTAGTATTGCAGCATTAAGTTGGTTTCTAATAATATAATTTGCATGGGAAGAATATGACTACCCCAAAACTTGCCTGCTAAGCGTCCATAAATGCTTCCTTTAACTCAGAGGACCTGGAGTTCTGCTAGAAAATTGAATCCGTGTTCAGCAGGCTTTCCTTCCTGGTGACCTCTGCATGCCCCACAGGCTACCCCTGCCTATTTTACACCAGAGTTCCGCAAGTGAGGCACCAAAGCTGGATGGTAACATGAGCTGGCTACAGCTGCAAATAGCAACAGGCCTGCCATGAGTGAAGGTCCAAATATAGACTTGCTGTGGCTGAGTTGCCACTTCTTACTACTCAAGTATCACCAGGAGAGGTCACATGTTGTGCTCTGAGTTATTTCCTGTGCTGTGAGGGGTTTTAGACTTGTGGCTCTACCATGGGTCTCAGACGGCTGGTCATGTGGAGACGGCTGAGGACTGTCATGGTAAGACCAGGAAGGAGATTCTTTTTTGAGACGGAGTCTTGCTTTGTTGCCCAGGCTAGAGTGCAACCGCATGATCTTGGCTCACTGCAACCTCTGCCTCCCGGGTTCAAGGGATTCTTCTGCCTCAGCCTCCTGAGTAGCTGGGATTATAGGCGCCTGCCACCACGCCTGGCTAATTTTTGTATTTTTAGTAGAGACGGGTTTCACCATACTGGCCAGGCTGGTTTCGAACTCCTGACCTTGTGATCTGTCCACCTCAGACTCCAAAAGTGCTGAGATTATAGAGGTGAGCCACTGCACCGGGCCTGGAAGGAGATTCTTGAGAGCCCTTGGGCTGTGCGCCTTCCATCAGGGCTTTCCTGGGGGCTTCTTCCAAAGTGTTCTTGGTAAGCACAGCTCTGGAGGCAATCAAATGCAACTTTATTTTTTTCTCCCAATATTCCTTTAAACTGTACTCCAGGTGGGAATTATTCCCCTCTTTGGATGAAAATCCAGCAGACCCAATGACTTTCTTCTCCCTCTTAGGTGACACATAGTCCTAAGGTCACTTGAAGTCAGCATCTCAAATTCAGGAATTGAATGTCCAGTTCAATACATTAATCAAAAAGCCAAACCTGGTTTAGCCAGTGTTAAATCTTCTCCCTTTCCCAGAGTGGGCCTCTTTAGCAGGAAGCCTGCCCTGGAAAAGGAAGCATGGAGTTGGCCTCTCCTCCCCACATTCCTCCCAGAGATGCTGGTTTAGAAGCCAGGGCAGGAGGGCTGACGCCATAAGATGGCTTCTATTTGAGTAGACATCAGAGTGGGTACCAGCCTCAGGCTCTCTGGGCCTGGAGTATGCTTAGCTCCGACTCTCTCATGGGGAATCTCTGGGGATTCCCACTGTGGGGCCAGGATTCCCATCACTTGATTCCCCTCCCTTGACTGAAGCTATTTCCATTATTGGAGTGCAGCAGTTTGAGACCGGCCTTGGCAACATGGGGAGACCCCCATGTCCACAAATAAAAAAATTAGCTGTGTTGGGGCACACCTGTAGTCCCAGCTGCTTGGGAGGCTGAGGAGGGAGGATTGCTTGAACCTGAGAGGTCAAGGCTACAGCGAGCCCTGATGACACCACTGGACTTCAGTCTGGTGACAGAGAAAGACCTGTCTCAAAAATTAAAAACAATCATTTGGAGCTAGGTACGGCAGTTCATGACTATAGTCCCAGCTACTTCAGAGGCTAAGGAAGGAGGATCTCTTGAGCCTAGTAGTTTGAGGCTGCAGTGAGCTGTGACTGCGTCACTGTACTCCAGTCTGGTGACAGAGACCCTGCCTCTTAAAAAACATAATAATACTAATGATAATGTAGATGCCTGTTTTTTAAATGTAGGAAATGCCATAAGATATTTTTAAGTGGGCTGTGCCTGTAAGGCTGATTTGAACCCTTTCACATCACTGTATAGCTAACACTTTAAAGCAAGTTTTCTTTATCTATGGCTCAGGAATTGCCAGGGGCTACATGAATGAGTTTCTAAAATTATATGCAAAATTATGTTTGTGTCCTTATGGAATCACTTCTGGGAAGAGAACTCACAGGTTTCAATAGATTCTCAGAGGTGCTCATAAACCATAAAAGGTTAAAAAACATTTTGGGGGCACTTTTCTAATTAAATCACAGGATACACTTCCCATATATGCCTTAAGCTAACTTTCTTTTTTTTTTACTTGCCACGGTATGGCATAGAGATGGGACTATCCAGCCAATACATTCATTATGGACTGTGATTGATTATTTCTCTAAGCTCTAGTTTCATAATTTATAAAATGACAATTTATTGTTAATGTTCTTTTCTTCCAAAATTCTGATTCTGTTAAGAAATTGAAAGAGTCTAGGTGTTGAGGAAAAAAGAAAGTGTTAACTGTGGGGTATGTTGCAAAATTCCTACTTTGATGCTGAGCCCACAGACCAGTGTAACAGTATAATCTCTCTCTTCTCTCTCTCTCTCTCTCTCTCTCTCTCTCACACACACACACACACACACACACAGTGTAATAGTCAGAATTGTCCAGAGAAACAGAACCAATAGAATGTATATATGGAAACAGATTTATCATAAGGAATTGACTCATGTAATTATGAAGACCAAAAAGTCCCAAGATCTGCAGTTAGCAAGCGGAACATCCAGGAGAGCCAATGGTGTGGTTCTCGTCCAAAGGCCAGCAGGCTCAACACCCTGGAGAGCCAATGTTTCCATTTGAGTTGGAAGGCGGGAAAAAAACCCATATCCCCACTTGAAGGCAGTTAAGCAGGAAGAATTCTCTCTTATTCAAGCTTTTTGTTCTATTCAGACCTTCAATTGATTGGATTAGGCCCACTCACACCAGGGAGGGCAACCGGTTTTACTCAGTTTACTGACTCAAAGGTTAACCTCATCCAGAAACACTATCATGCACACACCCAGAATAATGTTTGACTAAACACCTGGTAGCCCAATCAAGTTGACACATTAAAATTAACCAATTAACCGGTCGGGCGCGGTGGCTCACGCCTGTAATCCCAGCACTTTGGGAGGCTGAGGCGGGTGGATCACGAGGTCAGGAGATCGAAACCATCCTGGCTAACACAGTGAAACCCCGTCTCTACTAAAAATACAAAAAAATCAGCCGGGTGTGGTGGCGGGCGCCTGTAGTCCCAGCTACTCGGGAGGCTGAGCCAGGAGAGTGGCGTGAACCTGGGAGGCGGAGCTTGCAGTGAGCCGAGATCGTTCCACTGTACTCCAGCCTGGGTGACACAGTGAGACTCTGTCTCAAAAAAAAAAAAAAAAAAAAAAAAAAAATTAACCATCATACATGTATATACATATGCTATAGACAGTTTATATTCCCCTAAAATTCCCATGTTGAACTTAAATCCCCAATGTGATGATATTTGGAAATGTAGCCTTTGGGAGGTGACTAGGTCATGAAGGCAAGCCCTCATGAATAAAATTAGTGCCGTTACACTGGGGGTCCCAGAGAGCTCTGCCATGTGAAGATGCAGTAAGAATACAGTTATCTATGAACCAAGTGTCCTTACCAGACACTGAATCTGCTAGTACTTTAATCTTGTACTTTCCAGCCTCCAAAACTATGAGAAATAAATGTTTGTTGTTTATAAGCCACCCACTCAATGGTATTGTTATAGCAGCCTGAATGGATTAAGACATATATTAATATACATAGAGAGGATAATTTTCTTTTTTCTTTTCTTTTCTTTTCTTTCTTTCTTTTTTTTTTTTTTTTTTGAGACAGAGTCTCACTGTTTCACCCAGGCTGGAATGCTGTGGTGCAATCTCGGCTCACTGTAACCTCTGCCTCCTGGATTCAAGCAATTCTCATGCCTCAGCCTCCTGAGTAGTTGGGATTATAGTGCATGCACCACCATACCTGGCTAACATTTTTTTTTAAATATATTTTAAGTAGAGACGGGGTTTGGCCATGTTGGCCAGGCTGGTCTCGAACTCCTGACTTCAAGTGATCCACCCACCTCGGCCTCTAAAAGTGCTGGGATTACAGGTGTGAGCCACTGCACCCAGCCACCCACGACACTTTATAATGAGAAAGATTGACAATTTCCTCTTGAAAAACCAAATAGATTAGAAAGCTAATAGAAATGATAACACAGTATAAAACAGATAGTAAAAAGATATAACGTGAGGAATATACAAGAAAGATATTTAAAACAGACTGTTAAAAATCATAAGTAAATCATATTAGTTAAAACAGTATATTAAAAGTAGGGGAAAATCAATCACTTCAGCTAAAAGGTTATCTCTCCAAGAAGACTGAGTGACTGTGTCCCAGGGCCCAATCCCCAACCCTCACACTTGCAGCAGGCATAAAAGGGGAGGGACCTTCAGACAAAGGCACCTTTCCACCTTCAAGCTGCATTCCACAGAGGTTCCTAGATTTCTTAAGGTCATTTTCAAGGCAGAGAGATGTCCTAACTAAAGCTTTAGCTTGGCCCTGATTTTTTTGTTTGCTTATTGTTTACCCTTGGGGACAACAGCAAGTACAAAATCTGATTCCAGTTTTTCCCAGCTCAAAAACTTCACACACGCTTTCACTTGTTCCCGAATCAACACCTCACAGGCCTTGCTTTGGCAAAGGGCTCCTGATCCCAGCTTCCTGGCATCTGCCTCCTTTCCTCCCCCCATTACCACCACCTGTCTCAGTGCACTCCCAGGATGGGAGCGGACATGGACTGTATTTCTCAGTCTACACTGCACATTTCCTAGGCAGAGAGTAGGGCCGTCTTGGTCCTTGATGCAAGAACAGATCTAGCTCCACCCTGACATGTAAACTGGATTTCCTGTTATCTCCTTAAACAGGCCTTCAGTAGCCAGGTGGTCATGTCGAGCCCGAGTGTCAGTGTATCTTAAGTTTGTCTGGGCCTCTGTTTCCTTAACTCTAAAGTGAAGAGTTAGAACACAGATTGTATTTAAACACCCTGGTTGGGAGCTGCAGTGCCCTGAATTCCTCCTCTTACTCCACCCCCTCAATACTGACACACAGCCGACACTCAATAAAAGTTTGTTGAATTGACAAAAATAAATTTGTGGCTTCTTGCCCAGTACTTGGCACTTAGAGGCCCTCAATAAATGACTATCGAGTTTATGTTTCATCTCTCCAGCACATTTGTGACATTCTTGAGGGCGGGAACCATGTACTCAATAGGGCCCTGATGATAGAAAAGGAAATCAGCTTGGTCCCTGTTCTCAAGAAGTTCACAGTTTAGTGTGGGAGACTAAGACAACAACTCGCCGATTCAACAGATATTTTTCCAACGTCCTTATGTATTGGGTGGAAAAGGTGAGGCAAGAGCTGTATTTCCCAGACTCCTGAACGGGTTGCGAGATGATTGACTCCTGAGGGACACCGTCTCACCTTTTCATTGGTTGTCGCTGGCCCTGTCGTCTATCACCCAACCAACCCCGAACACCTCTTGTAAGCCCCACCTCCGGGTCAGCCAATTAGAGGTGCCGGGGGCCAGGGCGCTGCTGGGTCACTGACGCGGTTTCGATTCCAGTGAAAAATGCTCGGGTTCGGACTGTCCCGTGACAGGCGGTGCGAGCAGGCCAGGCCCTTGCCCGCCGAGCCCTAGGACCGCTGCCGCCGACTGCCATGGAAGACGAGCAGCCCGACAGCTTAGAGGGCTGGGTGCCTGTCCGGGAGGGCCTCTTCGCCGAGCCCGAGAGGCACCGGTTGCGCTTCCTGGTGGCTTGGAACGAAGCGGAGGGCAAGTTCG